TCTAGTCAGTTTGTTAAGTAGAAGTTACTTCTAGTTAGTCTGTTAAGTAGAAGTTACTTCTAGTTAGTCTGTTAAGTATAAGTTACTTCTAGTTACTCTTTTAAGTATAAGTTACTTCTAGCTAGTTTGTTAAGTATAATTAGCTTCATTAATTTATTAGTTACGTTTAGTTTGATATATAAGGCTAGCTTACTTTGGTCAGAAGTTAGTGATAGTAATTGTAGCACACAATTCTTCCCAGTCTTTACAATGACTATTATAAGGAGCATAACGGAGGTCGCAAGGATTCTGGTTTTTTTTTGTTGTTGTACTCTTAACCTGAGATGTGTCTCGACACAGAATGTATCTGTTTGTAAGCAAATTATCGTAGTTGGTCAGTAGTTATAAACACCTATACCGTCACAGTTTTCAAATTAGACATACATTAACGAATCAGTCTGAAGTGTGACAGACTTTGCAACAATCGGGGTTTAAAATCAAAATTGGTTTCTGAGTATGTGTTAGCGAAAGTGTAAGAACGAATAGACCCGTTGGTTGTTGAAAGAGGTGTTCACCATTTACGACCAATCAAGGTAAACTCATTCTTCAAAGTAGAAGATCTTTTAGGAACATTCTGAATCACAAAGAGAGGTCAAACCTTCGAAAGGTAAGTTTGCAGGTTTTTAAAAGAAAAATATAGTCAGGAAAAGAATCACTCCTTTTTTATGAAGTGAATAAGCAACTCTAAAACTCAACTAATTGTATTTGACAATAATTTTTTATTATCTACTACAAAATAATGTGATGAAAAATCAACGTGTTTCTTATGATATATTGAATTGTAACGATACCTTTCAATAATAGTTACTTAACGGACTGTTGGTTAGAACAATAAATCACAATAGTATTCATTAAAATACGAAAGAAAAGATACAAGTTGGGGAGACACACAAGCCACTAACTCGAGTTAGTTTACATGAGAATTAAGGGGACGGAGTCGTTAAGGTTAATGAATTAAAACAATGAGGTTTCATGTTAACAACACTAATTAATTGAAACAAACTGTCAAGTATTACAAACAATATAGTTTACGATAGATTCTGATTTACATTATCTAAATAGAACAATGATACATGCACCTCTATGGACGGTTGTTAATTGATGATTGACTAATGACTCACTAGATTGACTGGTAACTGACTTAAAAATGACTAATTTCTGGGGTTTATATAATATATTTTTGTGTAATGAATGTGCAAGAATCATGTCCTAATATGATTAGGTATTTCATTCAGAAGTTTCTCGATTCCGCATGATGTCGTAACTTCTGCACGTGGACTGATCATATTACTGTTCTACTAGTTTTGGTTCTGCTTTTAAACCTTCCACAAT